CCATAGCTACCGCTGACCCTGATACTTGTGCTATCAAATGCAGGAGTGTCAGCTTTGGCAGCATACATACCAAAAGAAATCTTTGTGTCAAACAGGACACAAGGGAAGCTGATGTGCAATTTCAAGACTGTTAACACCAGCATCGGGTTGATCTTTATCTCCTGAAGTTTCCAGCCCAAGGGGGCCTAAACTAGTGTGTTGTTTTTCTGCTACTCCCAAGGTGAAGTGTACCTTGGGAACTATCCACCATTTAAGGGCTGGAGACCTTCATAAGAAAAGTGCATCAATCAACATAGAAAATATACAGTTTATACACAATGGCACCTATACCTGTGATGTCAAGAACACTCCCTTTGGTTGGCACATTAGGCTTTATGGTTGAAAAAGACAGTCTGTCCTTTTTCCAGTCTGGGTTGTGGTGGGTATAGTTTCTGCTGTGGTCATAGGTCTAACTCTGCTGGTCAGCATGATCCTGGAAGTTCTCTATAGAAGGAAAAACTCCTAAATGGAACATTTTTACAGTATTTTGGGGGCTGTAAATTAGTACAACCACTATGGAAATCAATATGAAGTTTCCTCAAAAGACTAGGAATAGAACCACCATATATTCCAGCTATACCATGACTTTAGTATAACCAGAGTTACCCTAAAGAATCAAAGTCATTATACTATAGTGATTCATGCATACCCATGTTTATATAAGCAGAATTCACAATAGCCAAATTATGGACCCAGCCTAGGTGTCTGTTGATGGATATATGGATAAAGAAAATGTATATATACACAATGGAATTTTATTCAGCCATAAAGAAGAATGAAATTGTGTCACTGAAGAAAAATGGTTGGAACTTGATAGTATTATGTTAAATGAAATAAGACTCAGAAAGTCAAGGGTCATAAGTTTTTTTCTCATACATAAAGGTAGAGAGAAAAAAGGAAAGAAAAATGTTGGAAGGGGATCTCTTGAAAATAAAAAGAAAATGACTAGAAAAGAGGAAGGAAAACAGAAGGAGGCAGTGGAGGAGGGAAGGGGGGTTCTAGGGAATTATATTAACCAAATTATATTATTATATTGTGTGCATGTACACATATGTACCAACAAATTCCACTATTATGTACAATATAATGAACTAATTAAAATAAATAATAAAGTAAATAAAAACCCCTACAAATTTGTAGGTTATTGCCAGCATGCATTTCATTGCCTTCAATTCCCTACATCACAAAGGTACTAAGTTTCCAATCTTCATTACACAGACACACACACTCCACATGAATCTGTCATATTGCAGCTAAACTTCTTGGATCCCATATTTTTTCTTCCTTAATTTTATCAGCGAGGACTGTTCTAGTTTTACATAATGTGAATTCAACCTGAATGGTTTAAAAACAAAACAGAAATATGTATAAAGAATTTACTGCAGTGTGCAGTGGCACACACCTGTAATCCCAGCGGTTCAAGAGGTTGAGGCAGGAAGATTGYGGGTTTAAAGCCAGCCTCAGCAAAAATGAGGCACTATGCAACTCAGTGAGACTCTGTCTCTAAATAAAATACAAAATAGGGATATGGCTCAGTGGTCGAGTGCCCCTGAGTTTAATGCCCAGTACAAAAAAAAAAAAAAAAAAAACTTACTGGCTTGCTAAAAAGTCAAGAAAAACAGGTTCAGGAAGGGCTAGATCTAGGACTCAAAAAAACCAAAAACCAAAAAACAAAACAAAACAAAACAAAAAACACCTTCCCGAATTCAGCTTCTCTCTAGCTGTGGTTTCCTGCACAATAGATGATATTTTCAACCAGGTGCTCCCCTTTTAATGTAAAGGTGATTAGATGAAGCTGTATAGATAATGACCACCACAGAAAATAAGGTTCTTTTTTCCCACTGGTTCCCATAAAACCTCATGATTGCAGCCAGGTTTGTATGTTCCACAGCTGAATACATTAGACTAGCCAGGATAATACAATATAGTAATTGAATAGGTAGGTATATATAATACGTGAGATGACCATCCTGGTTTTCTTGGGACTGTCCTGGTTTTGCCTGTGAAGTCCTGTTTCACAGTAAACCTCTCAGTCCCAGGTAAATGAAGATGGTTGTTCACCCCAGCTTACATGTGTACCAAAAGGATGGGGTTGTTTCCAAACTTCAGCAGGTGAGAATGGTTGTAACAGCAGGGAATGAAAGCTAAACAGGTGGAAAACATCAACATGTACATGTAAACTAGAGAAGTATGCTGATCAACACGGTGGCCACATGTGCCTGCTGACCACTTGAGACTGTAGTAATCTATAGTTTAGTTTGAATGTAGCTCTGAATTAAAATATGCAGTAAATGCAAAAAATACAATGGATTTCAAAAACTGTGAATGAAAACAATGTAAAGCTTCTTAATAATTGTTTTTATATTGAAATGATCATGTTTAAAATATATTGAGCTAAATATTAAAATTAAAAACTTTATTTTTAACTGATACAAAAACATAATTGTATGTTTTTATGGGGTACTACTGTGATTTTTTTTGATACATGTACACATTGTAATGTTCAAACATCTATCTCCTTGAACATCGATCATTTCTTTATACTGAAAGCATTCAAACTTTTAGCTTTTTGAAATACACAGTACATTATCATTATCCATAGTCATCCTACAGGGCAGTATCAGAACTACTTACTCCTATCTAACTATGAGCAAACTCAAATCTCTTTTTAAAATTTTTTTTATTTCTATGTGGTGCTGAGGATGCCAGGCAAGCGCTCTACCACTGAGCCACAATCCCAGCCCACAAATCTCTTTTCTTTTCTCTACTTTCCAAGATCTGGTAACCACAATTCTACTCTTAACTTCTGAGATTGATTTTTTTTTTTTTATATTCCACATGAGTGAGATCATATGGTACTTGTTTTTCTGGGTCTGGTCCATGTTGTTATGAACAACAAGATTTTGTTCTTTAAGGCTGAAAAGTATTCTGCGGTGTACATGTACCTTATTTCCTTTATCTATTTAGTTGATGGMTACTTAGGTAGTTTCCACTTCTTGGCAAAAACAAAAACAAGCAAAGAAAATAAACTAACAAAAAACAACAACAAAAACAACAAAATCCTACTTGAAAAAAATCATTACCTGAATAACTTCAATTTCCTTTATTCTACGCTATTGTTTGTAACTGGAAATCTATACAACCAGGAAATGGAAATTCAGTGTATCACTGGCAGAGCTCGCACATTCATAATTACCTAAAGAGCAACAATGAGTAGTAGCTCATTACAAAATCCCAATGACGAGTTGTCAAAATGAAGTCTTAGAAGTAAACATCCAAAATATTTTAATTAATATGCATAACTAGCAACACATATATTATCATATTAAACACATAAAATCATTCCAGTTTGAATAAGTTAAAGTTGCTAACATCTTCCTTTGTTGTGCTGGGAAAAGGCCAAATTTGGGGATTATATGAATCTTGGCTCTGGTGCTTATTAAATCCTAGGGCCTTGGGCAGTTTCGCTAGTAAAAGCTTCCATTTCCTCATTCATAAATACCCTACAGCATTTTCGGAGTGTCTGGAGACTGTCAAAACACTAGCCACTCACTAAACGGAAGTCTTTATTACGGTACTCTTTGGCCTTCATATATGATCTCAACGTTAATAAGCACCAAGGTCAAGAAACTAAACCCGTCTCCCGACCACGTCCAGTCACATTAGGATACCTCTCCAACAAGCCACTTAGTCCCTTTTGCTAGAAGCGGATGTGGCCCCGCGAAGGATCACAAAGCGCGACCCAGCCGTGAGGAGGGATTTCCGCCAAACGCCGGGAGGGTGGGCCATACCCAGAAGCCCACCGGAACAGGCGGGAGGAACGCCGGCTCCCGGAAGCGCCGCGGAGGAAGGACTACATTTCCCATAAGTCGGCAGGGCAGGGCGAGGGGTGGGCGTCGGGGACATTACCGGACAGGCCTTGCCGGCAGTACTAAGGTAAATGCCGGCACCGCGGCTCGAAGAGAAAAGTCACTTAGGATCCGCGACTAGATTTGTGCTAGTAACCCCTCTAACCCATCCTGAACCGACAGAAACGATGCTCCCAGTGGGGCGACTTTGAGATTTCCGAGTCGCACCCCTCCGCTCCGGCAACCCTAGACAACACACCCCTTACGGGTCTGGGGGCGCTTTCCCAATGCCCAAGGAAGCGGGGGAGCTGTGCTTGCTCCGGGAAGGCCCAGGGTATCTCTTTGTAGGTTTGACGGTTCGTGTAGGGTCCTCTAACGCCCCTCCCCCACGCCCAATCCCCTTTTAAGTCGGGCTGGAGAAGGGATGTGCTGGGCTTCCTGGGGCTCAAAGAAAGGGGTCTTGTAGGGGAAGGTGCCCCCCTTCCGACCCAGTCGAGTAGCGGACGACCTCCTTTGATTGCTTCTCGGACATCCTTGGCTGGGGCGGTGAAAGCTGTCATAAACTTGGGGGCCAAGCATCTCCATCCAAAGTCCCTATCCTGTACCTTTTGGAGTGGTATCTCGGTGCCGTTGGTGAGGCTAAGAGACTTGCGCTAGGTCACAGAATCCAAGTGGCAGAATGAAAGGTTCTCACCGAGCCTGTCTGGATCTAAAGCTCTTTGCTTCTGACCCATTACCTTCCTCAAGCCTATCCTAAGAGAAGGCAGGAGCTGGGGACTGCACAATCTTTCGCGTTTGGTTTTCTTTTTCTTTTCTTGTTTTTGTCCGGAGAGACCCACGCGCGTCCTTAGGGCCCAGGGGCAGAACCCAACCCCGTGATCCCAGAGTATAGCGACCTCGTTTCCCACCCTCGTGAACAAAACCGAGCACAGAGTCTTCCCCTGACCAATCCGGGTCGGTGGTCCCTTGGACAGCAGTCTCTCCTTTCGCCTCTCCCAGGTCCTTTTCTGGGGACGCACGGGAGGCGCGCGTCTGCGCCACGAGGCGGGTGGGAGGGGTTTGCTGCGCGGCGGCGGCGGCGGCAGCAGCGGCGGCTGCGGCAGCTGGTGGGTCCTGCGGTGACTCCGGGGCGGGGCTGTGGGCAGGGTGCCGATTGAAAGATCTACTCCGCGGGAATGGGGGGTGTGGTTGTTCGGCCAGCGTCCTTCGAGTGGGAGAGTGGCTCCGCGACCACCGGTGGCCGGACCCCCTCTGCCTTCTGCTAGAGATGCTTTTCCTCTCGGTGAGTTAATTTTTTGTCGTCGCTGGCAGGGTTCTGGTTCTTAGTCACGCCCCGGGGAAGAGGAAGGAGCAAGGCCACCTCGATGTGTGTGTGGCCTGGATAGAACAGGGCAAAGGGGGAACTGACCAGCTGCACTCCTAGGCCTCCTCCCTTTGGGGCATGTTGATCCGCGGCTGCGCTGCATGTTCCAGTTTCATGCAGGCTCCTGGGAAAGCTGGTGCTGCTGCTGCTGCCTGATTCCTGCCGACCGATCTTGGGACCGGGGCCCGCGCTGGCGGCTGGAGATGGCGGACACTAGATCGGTCCATGAAACCAGGTTTGAGGCGGCCGTGAAGGTGATCCAGAGTTTGCCGAAAAATGGTACGTGCACTGGGCCCCGCTGGAAAAGCCTTCCGAAGAGGCCCCAGGTCTCTAAACCTCACCTTCTTTAACCTTCTTTCTGGTTCAAGCCTGGCTTATTTAGCCTACTTTTTTCCTGTGTTGTAAAGGCATGTAATTGGTAGGGGAGGTATTGAATGTGAATTAACGACCTGCTGATCTTTGAAGCCACAGACAAATTTGTTATCCACGTTTTAAGTTCTTTAGATTGTTAAAAACGAAAGTCTTCTCATTTAATGACTGCGGATTTGTTAAAAAAAATTCTGGGATGGGATACCTGGTACCCTATACTCGAAAATCTACAATTCAAACCTTTTGAAAACTTTTGCTATGAAGTAAGGGAAAGGAAGAAGTAAAGGAAAGGAAAAAATAGCAATATTCATTTGTAAAACGATTTCTTTTTATTTTAATRAATATAGTACCTTTTTTTGCTGCTATTCGTTGTATTAGCATTTTGTTTTGTTTAACATATACTTATATTGGACCTTCTTTGCAGCTTGTGGGGAAAGATCTATTGTTCTCTTTCTTTTAGTATGTCATTTCTTTGTTTATCTTTGGTTTTCAGTAATTTGACTATGATGTGTTTAGATGTGTTTTTTCTTCTTATTTATCCTGTTTACAGTTTGTAAACTGTAAATTGTAATTTTATTTTTGGGCAGTGTTGGAAAGTTTTTCAGCCATTATTTATTTTTTTCCCCCCCTTTTCTAAATAGAGTGGCTTGGGGAGGGAGATTTTCACTTTGCAATTCATGTCCTTTGCATCATAAGGATTATTTTAAATCATAAACTAGTTTTTAAAAATGCTTTTAAGCACTATTACTGTACCAGAGTGGGAAACCTGACTATATAAACATATTACTAGAGTATTTAATATCATCTTCTTGGTTTTCATTAATCATATTTGGCTAAGTAATGAATCTTCAGTACAGTTCACTCAAAAATTCGCTAAGTGTAGATTCAGAAAGTTTTGTAGAGCTGGTACTTAGGCTGAATGATGCCCTGGGTTCAATCCCAGTGACACCCTTGGAAAAAAGAAAAAAGAAAGTTATGAAAACAAATGTACAGAAAAAATAATGTTCCCTTTTGTAATCCCCCCTCCCGCCCCCACTTTGTATTGAACTTAGGGAGGCTCTGAGGTATATCCCCAGCCCTTTAAAATTTTTTTATTTTGCATTGAATTTGTGATTCTCTGCCTTAGTCTCCTGATTCTTTTATACTTTCAAACATTCCATTGAAGGAGGTCATAGAGAGGATTGAAAGTTAAGCWAGAAGAAACAAAATATATAGAAATAACATAGGAATTTATTTAAGTATTGATATTTTAATGTTAGGTTAAGGGTGTTTATAAAAGGTATGATTCCAAGAGTTTTATATAAGTAGTACAAATTTTTTGAAAATTGAAAAAGCTAGACTTAATGTCTGCTGCCTACTTTTTTTTTTAACATTTTAGTCAACTTACTAAAAAAAACTCATGTAAATTAATTAAAGAGTTTGTATTTACTTAACATTTTAGAAGGCATTACAAAGTTAAAATTAACAATAGTATTGGAGGTGTAGCTTAGTGACGAAGTTCAGACTTAGCATSCAGGATACCCTGAGTGTGATCCCCAGCATCTGTCCCCCACTGGCTCCCCACAAAGATCATGTTATTTTTCTGAAACTGAACTAATATTCATTGAACCACAAGTTTGTTATAACAAATTATTAAATATTTTTATTTTAAATTAATTTTTTTCAGGAGGGAAAGTTTATTTTGGTTCACAGGAATTATTAAATGTTTTTATAAAACACTGTTTTTAAAAATTGGTCTGCTCTGATCTATTTTACAAAAAGCAAAATCTTATAGTTTTGTTTTTATTGCTTAATATTTAATAGTAAATTCTTTTTTTTTTTTTGGTAGTGGGGATTGAGCCCAAGGGTGCTTAATCACTGAGCCATATTCCCAGCACTTTTTATTTTTTATTTTGAAACAGGGTCTCCCTAAGTTGCTTAGAGCCTCACTAAATTGCTGAGACTGGCCCTGAACTTGAGATTCTTCTGTCTCTACCTCCTGAGCTGCTGGGATCACAGGTGTGCATCACCACTCCTGGCTTTTTAAAAACAATTTTATTTTGAGACAGGGTTTAGCTATGTTGGTTAGGGCCTTAAGGCGCTAAGTGCAATAATGACCTTGATTTTTAGAAATATAAATTCTTAGATAATATTTCAAATACATATATTAAGTATGTCATGTGAGTGCCTCAAAGACAAAGGATCAGATACATCATACTTTTTCTGCAATCTTACAGCGCAGAATATGTTCAATAATTTTTTTGTTTGTTTGGGTTTTTTTTTTTTTTTTTGGTACCAGGGATTGAACCCAGGGCACTTGAGCTAAGGATCTTCCTAAGTTGCTTAGGGCCTCACTAAATTGCTGAGATTCGCTTTGAACTTGCATCCCTCCTGCTTCAGCCTAACAAGTTTCTAGGATTATAGGAGAGTGCCATTGCATCTGGCAAGTTTTTTTTTTTTTTTAATGTAAAGTATGTGTCATTGAGCTAAGCCTGTAAACCTTTAAATCTTAACTTTGTGGGCTGGGGGTATAGCTCAGTTGATAGAATGCTTACCTCGAATGCACAAGGCCCTGGATTCAATCTCAAGCACCATACACACAAAATATCTTACTTTGTTGGCTTACTGAAGACATTAAGAGATGAGGTTTTTGAATTTTCAAATGTAGATTTGTGTTACTCATTGGTAACCATTTTTAACAATTTTTTCTGCATTTTTTCCTTTGTTGCATAAAAAACAACTATATCATTGAAACACTGTATCTAGTAGATACTCCCAAATGTGCCTGTATTATATAGATAATTATTATTGTGATTGGGGATTAATTATTCATTCTTTTTTTAAAAAAACATTTTTTATTTTTTTGGAAGTAGTTGGAAACAATACCTTTATTATTCATTCTTGATTAGACCTGAAACACCAGTTCTCAGTTTGTCAGTGTTGTAATTTCCATTTTTATAAATGACTAGCTTTTGATTCACATGTTATCTGTTTAGTATGAAGTCATGAAGTTTTCAAAATACCTTCTTACAGTTTTTGTTTGTATAATAATTTTTGCTTTGAAAGTAATATGCACTAATGTTAAAAATTTAAACAAATGCCAGGTGTGGTGGCATTTGCCTGTAATTCCACCTATTCAAGAGGTTGAGGCAGGAGGATCTCAAGTTCAAGGACAGCCTGGGCAACTTGATGAGATCCTGTTTCAAAGTAAAAGAAAATTGACTGAGGATGTAGCTCAGAGATAGATTGCTTGCTAAGCATGTTTAGTCCCTAATACTGAAAAAAAAAAAAATTAACATAGGTAAGTAAAAAGGAAAATAAAATAATCTGTGTATCTACTATCCAGAGGTAGCTCCTTTTAACATTTTGATGTATAGCCTTTTGATGTACTTTTCATGTATGTAAATTCTTATTTTGTAAAAATAGATCACATTGTATATGCTGTTTTTAACCTATAGTTTATAGAAGATCATGAAATTTATCAGGCCATTATTGGGGCTATCATTATAATATATTCTGTTACTTGTGTGTATCATAATTATCTAGTCAGTTATCTATTAACAAAAAAACTAGCATTCCAATTCTTCATTTTAAGAATATTGTAGCTGGGTGTGGTGGCACACACCTGTAATCCCATTTACTCTGGAGGCTGAAACAAGAGAATTACAAATTTGATTCCAGCCTTAGCAACTTAGTGAGACAGCATTTCAAAATAAAAAATAAGAAGCATGTATGAATACAYGATGGTGTAACTCTAGTTTGTGTACAACCCGAGAGATGAAAAATTATGATCTATTTGTATAACATGAATTGTAATGCATTCTGCTGTTGTATATAAAAAATTAGAATAAATTTTAAAAAATAAGAAGGGCTGAGGATGCAGTTCAGTGGCAGAGAGCTCCTGAGATCAATTCACAGTGTGGGAAAAAGAATTATATTCCAACTTATGATACTTGAGTATACACTTTGAAAATTTCAAATATAAAAGAGGTTATGAATATTGATAGATATGCTAGAAGCATATATGAAGACTTATCTTCAAAAAACTGATATAACCAAAATTACAAAGGTAGAAATTGAGAAATCTGTTTTATATTGCATTAGTTCTTTTTCCACTAAAGTACACACTGGTTGGCTTTGGCCAAAGTTCCTTATCCAGTGGGAAATTGAAATTTGGCCAAGAGGAGTTGGATTTTTTATTGTTGATACTTTATTAACCAAAGTATGTTTCTAACTTTTTTTCATTTATGCTAGTCAGCTTTGATTTTTCACAAGCTTTATTTTGCTTAATAACATTATTCTGTACTTCCATATTTAAATTATTTTTTATTTATTGATGGACACAAAACCTTTAATTTAATTTATTTATTTTTATGTGGTGCTGAGGATTGAACCCAGGGTCTTGCACGTGGTAGGCAAGCACTCTACCACTGAACTGCAACCCCAGCCCTATACTTCCATATATTTTATGTGATGTTTTCTGGTTATTTTTGGTTATTTTGGTTATACCCTTAGAGTGTTTATTCATTTTATTTATTTACTTACTTATTTACTTACTGACTGACTGACTGACTGACTTATTTATTTTTTGGTACAGATATTGAACCCAGAGATGCTTAAACATCTTGTTTTCTTGTCTTGCCCAAGATTTTCCTATTTGTGTAAGACTGATGAAGACACATCCCCGGCCCTTTTTAATTTTTATTTTGAGACAGTTTCACTAAGTTGCTTACGGCCTCACTAAGTTGCTGAGGGTGGCTTTGAATTCAAAATCCTTCTGCCTCAGCCTCCCAAGTGTCTGAATCGTGTTTAGCATTGTTTAAGTTCAAAGTTTCAGTTTTTTTTTTTTTAATCAAAGGAGCAGATTAATTAATAAAACTGCCATAACTTTTGTGTCTAAGATAGAAAAAATTATCTGACTATTAAAATATCAGAGCACTATTAGTACTGCATGGCTAAGCTAATATACAACCATAGGTTATCAGTGTTATTCCCCAAGTAATTTGTATTTAATGTATGTTTCCAATAGGTTCATTCCAGCCAACAAATGAAATGATGCTCAAGTTCTATAGCTTCTATAAACAGGCAACTGAAGGACCCTGTAAGCTTTCAAGACCTGGATTCTGGGATCCTATTGGAAGATATAAATGGTAATTTCATTTATAGAGCCAAGAAAGGATTTCAATTTTAATAATTATCACACAGCTATTACTTATGTGGTTATATACTATTCAGTGCATAAAATATCCTAGGTGTACTGCATATAGTTTTTTCCCTCTAGGTGCTCTTCAATACAGTCTTACTTACACAAATAGGAAAATCTTGGGCAAGACAAGAAAACAGTAAACCAAGAGGTTAGGTGCATCAAAAACAAAGGATTTTCAGTTCACTTTCTTATAGTTTTTCTTTTTTAAAAAGCAACTCTTTTTTTTTTTTATTTTAAGAGAGAGGTGAGAGAGAGAGAGAGACAGACAGAGAGAATTTTTAATATTTATTTTTTAGTTTTTGGTGGACACAACATCTTTGTTTGTATGTGGTGCTGAGGATCGAACCTGGGCCGCACGCATGCCAGGTCAGCGCGCTACCACTTGAGCCACATCCCCAGCCCTTAAAGCAACTCTTGAACTAAGTAGTTTTTCCTTTTTTAAATCTCAAAGCAACTCTTGAACTAAGTACAAGAGATAAACTTTCCTGCCTCTTTTAGCTGCCAAGAAAAGTAATGACTTTTGTTCATCAACTGATACTGTTTGCTTTGAGCCTTTCAGATAATATGTAACTAGAAATATGACTCAGGTACTGCCATGTTAACTTTTTATCTCGGCTATTACTTCTGAGCCACTGCATTTGAGTATAAATTTGGTTTTTAATAAATTAAAGAATGATAAGTTATTGATGTTGTTATCATTTTCCCAGTCCACTTACATTTGATATTTTTAAAATACCATTGCACACTTTACGAATGTCTCACAAAAGTCCATTTTCAACTGTACCTTTTAACAAAGTATGTTAATTGATGAAGCATGTTTAAGAGCCACTAAAAGTACTAAATATGATACTTCCAGTAAGATATTTATGAATGATAATAAAGTAATAGGTTAAACGAAATAGCAATATGTTCTTTGTTTCAAGAAAATTTACTTATTTGCTTAACATTTTTTCCCTAGAATTGAACTTCAGTGAAGTTAAATTCCTTCTGGGAAAAATGTATAAAAAGAGAGATTTTCATATTAGGCAAATATTTCAAGGAATTTAAACACTTTCTTACCTTCATATTTTCATTTTTTTAGAAGTAAGGAACCATTTTTAGTTTTTGTTCTAGTGTATACATTACTTTTATTTCAATTAGTGGAAACTTTTAACCAAAACTTCTATTCATTTAAAACATGGCTGTGGCAGTAGACTTCTARAATGTTCATTTCCACTACTGTTTTGTATAATTATATGTAAAAACTTTTAAAGAATTCTTAGGCAATATTTATGAGTAGCTTACAGTTTCTGTGATGTATTAATATCTGGATAGGTTATTTACTTATTGTTTTAATGCTATTTAATTTGCCATTTCTTTTTGTTTTGATAGTTCTCTTCCAGGTGACATATTTGGTAATGAGATTTTTTTGGAAACATAATAATGGCTTTAAGTAGAACCTATTTTAAATTAATTGACCATATAGTGTCAACTATAAGTTGTAATCTCTACAATTGAAAAATCAGTTTTTTTTTAATTATTTGTATGTATTTTCATTGCTAGGGATGCTTGGAGTTCTTTGGGTGATATGACCAAGGAAGAAGCCATGATTGCATATGTTGAAGAAATGAAAAAGGTAGGGAAAATAATTTGTAGTTGAAAATAAAAATATTTAGAGCAGCTCTAATTTACTTTTTTTTTCTTTGAGAGAGAGAGAGAGAATTTTTTAATATTTATTTTTCAGTTTTCGGTGGACACAACATCTTTATTTATGTATTTATTTTTTATGTGGTGCTGAGGATTGAACCCAGCGGCGTGCACATGCCAGGCGAGCACGCTACCGCTTGAACCACATCCCCAGCCCCTCTAATTTACTTTTATTAGACAAATTAGCTGCTTTGTTTTCAGGAACAAGGAGATTGTAGTACATTGCTATAGAATCTAGATTATTAAGTTTATTTGAACTTTATGTACTTTGTTAAAGTTCATCTTAACAGGAGTATTTTTTCCTTAAGATACTATATTGTGGGAATATTTTACCTTTTTTTTACATCTTTCTTTCTCTGTAGTCAACTTCTGGAAAAAGTAACAGAAATAGGAATCTTGGAAAAATATATATAAATATTTGCCCAACAAATCTATGAAAATATTGGTGTCTCTTACTTGGGAGTCTTGTAAGTGCTGGTCTGTCTGAAAAGTATTTCAGGTGTGGAACATTGTATTTGGGAGAAAAAGTTAAGAAGACTCCCCAGCAATGTTCTCTTACAAGTTTTGACTGTTAAATTGATGCATTTTCATCAGTGGACTTACTAGTAACAAGCATTTTTCTGTGAATGCATAGTTCCTTTAAAGGCAGAAAAAGAAAACGATGCTTTTAGGATTCCTGTGGACTACGGAGGAGGGCATTCCTTTTTAACTAGCTCTTTTAAGTCTATCGAAGGCATTTTGTTTTGTTTTTGGTACTGGGGATTGGACTCAGGGACTCTTTAACACTGAGAGACATTCCCAAAGCTTTTTATTTTAAGATAGAGTCTTACTAAGTTGCTTAAGGCTTTGCTAAGTTGCTGAGGCTAGCTTTGAACTTGGAATCCTCCTGCTTCAGCCTCCTTAGTCGCTGTGATTACAGGCATGTGCCACCACATGAGACTAAGGCATTGTTTTGAGGAATACATTTATGAMAAAAATCATGAATTTTATATTGGGCATGGGTCAGAAGTTGTGAAATCTAATTCTGTTTGAAAATCTCAAATAAATTATCTTTGAACATAAAGAAAATCTGTAAAAAAGGAATAGTTTTTTTGCCAAATGGCTCGATGGTATCAATCTCTAGTTGTTTCTCTTCTACACTGCTCAAGTGGTGCCCTTTGTTACATTTTCACAATTTTTATTTAGTGGACTTTATGGTAGAGGGCAGAGTTTAATTCTTTTGGCAGTTATCTGTATCATTAATACAATAAAAAAAGAACCTTTCAAATCAGAGAGAGAAAGAAAATTCAAAACCTTTTTGGTTTGGTTTGATAACTATTCCTTTTTCTTCTCTCTCTCTCTCTCTCTCTTTTTTAGATCAACAGCATGCCTTTATTTTATTTATATTTATGTGGTGCTAAGGATTGAGCCTATTGCCTCACACAGACTAGGCAAGCGCTCTGCCACTGAAGCTACAGCCCCAGCCCCCTATTTCTTTCTCTTTACTTTAAGTGTCATTATAATTTTGAGGATATACTTCTATAGTATAAGGTTGAATTGCCACATTAAGCAAAATTTACATATTTTTCCTATCCAGTTTTACTAATTAATGTTGTCACAATTTAAAGTAAGAAGGGGATAAAACAATGTACATTCCTCCCTCATTTAAATTATAGTGCTGCCTTTTAGCTGTCTTAAAATACTTCTTCCATATATGAGTTTCTGTAATTATTTCTCTATTTTAAAAAAACAAACTATCTTCAATAGGCTTTAAAAATTTTATTTTCTATTACAAATAACAAAGTTTATAGTTAACTTTTAGAGTTAAATCTAAAATATTAAATACCTATAGATTGAAAATGTGATAAGTCTTAAATTACATTCAGAGTTCAGCTTATGAACATCAGTAGATAAAATTGCATCTTTCTAGGGGCTGGGGTTGTGGCTCAGCAGTGGAGTGCTCGCCTAGCATGTGCGAGGCCCTGTGTTTGATCCTCAGTACCACATAAAAAATAAAGGTATAAAAAAATTGCATGTTTCTAAATAATCTTGTGGAATAGAACACTATCCCAAAGATTTGATTATTGAATTTGTAACTTTTTCTAATAATTTACTAATTGAAGCAGTCATTAAATCATGTTTCATAGTTCATAAATCATTGTACCATTACTCTKTAGAATATAAATCTCATTTCATGGATTTCAGGAGCCTTATTAATTTGTGTTTTTTAATGGATCCTGTTTGGTAGAATATTGCTTATTAATTGGTAGAATATTGCTTATCATAATTTATAAAATTGTCCAGTAAAATATCACCAAAAAAGTTTCTGGAATCCAAAATTGTTTCAGCTTAGAGTGAATAAAGTAAGAAAGATGGTTTTAAGGAAAAATCCATTTCTTTGAAGTTTATTTTGATATATAATCAATGGGAAGTATAAAATCCTATTTTTTATACTATTTTTATAAAATCTTATGGGGATTTCCAGAATATTCATTCAACACTTGAATAATATACATTGTCTGTGGAATTTAAAGAGAAATCAGTGTACTTAATCCTGTCTGCACATTAGACTCACTGGTACAGATGCCCTTGCATGACTCCAGATTAATTGTGTCAGGATTTCTAAGAGGATTGGATATCTGCTGTAATAGAGGGAGGATTAGAGTGGGATCTTATAAAGGATAGAACCTGAAGTTACCATGGTTGAGGGTCTAGTCTARAGCTACACAAGTCTAGAGCACTGACTTTCTCTGAGTTTTGAGTTGACTTGTATTTTTAAGATTTGACTCATGATAAACATCTTTTAGAGACTGAGGGAAAAAGTGGGATTCCAATTTCTTTACTTTGTGTGGGTGATAGACTTTTCTAATCATTGGCATACTTGGGATTGATATCTGTGAGTCTCCTCAGAAGGTCAGAAGCACTGGAGAGACTAAATTTGTGATTACTAAGATTATTGAACAGAGATTGAGCAATGGGACTTGGGTAACTTTAAAAGATATGTTCATTGTAGACAAGAAAAACCTGAGGAATTTTTTTCTTTGCTTAATAAAGCATATATGTATCTTTCCAGGTATATTTTTATCACCTRAAAATGATGTCTCTTTGAGGAAAAGTGCTGGATATATCTAGAAAAATTACTGTGCTTTGAATGCTGTTCTTCTACAGTCCATGCAGCTTACCAAACGTTAAAAGTCTGCACTTGGGGAGCTGGGGTTGTAGCTCAGTGGTAGAGCACTTACCTAGCATGTGTGAGGGACCAGGTTCAATTCTCAGCACCACATTTAAATAAATAAAATAAAGATCCATCAACAACTTAAAAAAATATTTTTTAAAAAAGAAGAAGTCTACGCTTGAACTAATTTTATTAACTTAAAACTTGAACTCTCTGTGGATGAGTACTACCTCTTCTAGACTGAGATTTGCCTGTGTCTCCTTTTTTGACCTTGGGTGTGTGTCTCTGTTTCTATCTCTTGTATGTATATGTGTACACCTCTCTCTTCCCGTACGTCTCCTGTATGCCTGAACACATGCATGTGTGTACCTTTTTTTGTATTTCAGCATTGTTGAAAGGGAGAGAATTTTTTTGGTTGTTGATTTCTGGTTTCTTCATCAGAAACTTAAATTCTAGGTAGGTCTTGTGGTGGCCACTTGTGTCATTTCTACTGAAGTTCTGCCTTACTGAAAGAATACTGTTTATATTTGTTCAGTGTTGGTACATACTCCATTTATTTAGTTCTGACATTTCAACTCCAAAGTTCACTCTTATTTTATGGGGCATGGGGGAACCTAAACACTGAACTGAGTAGCTCAGGACAAATTAGAGTTTAAGGAGGGAGGTTTTTTTGTTTTGGTGGTTTGTACATTACTTTAATGAGAGAACTAATAGAGATCTGTTCTGGAGGAAGATCAAAGGAGGTGTTGAATGAGGTTCAGGATAGGGTATCTGGTTGCCTTACTAGATTCTGCTAAATCAATATTCATGTTGTGGCAATATGAGGTAGTGAAAAAAGTGCTGAATTGTTTTCAGTTTCATCTCTGGCATATTATCTCTGGCATATTAGCTGTGATTTGGTTACTTCAAAATAAACACTACCCCATAGTTTCAGTTAACTTGAATCTAATTCTTAAAATTATTACCATAACCTAAATATATATATAGTAAGTTATAAAATTTTCCCTCATGACTGCTCTCAGTCTCAGAACAAGTATTTTCTTAGCAAAAAGAAATTTTCTGAATAAACCATTTTTCACTCCTTAACATTGATAGGAACARCAAATAGATAACTTACTATGAGCTATAAAATCAAAAGATAATCTCTAAAACTAGTTATTGTTACTGTTGTTCATTTGGTATAGTCTGTCCCAAAAACTTACCTTCCATATCGGAACACACTGAGGGTGGTGATGTTATGGGTATTATCTCAGCTTAAAATAATATCAGACTTGTTTATAATCATAGATTACTGATGATCTACTCTGTATCTGGTTTTAAAATAAAAGCATGTTATTTGAATAAGAATTTTAGAGTTTTAAACCAGACTGTTAAATACCTTTTATATGCTAGACACTAAAAACAGGAGTGAACAAAACTAGATGAAGGTCCTTTTGTATTGAGCTTATAGTCTATTGTGAAATCAGGCAGTAAATGAACAGTAAAGCAAGGAGAGTGACTAATGAGTCTAGACCTGCTGTGAGTTTAAAAAATATAAATACATGCTATTTAAAAAATACATCTAAACAGCCAGGTAGGGTAGTGCAGGCATATATAATCTCAGCAATTTGGGAGGCTGAGAYAAGAAGATTGTTAAGTTTGAGCAACTTAACAAGACCTGTCTCAAAATAAAAATTAGAAAAAAAAAAAAAAGGAAAAAGAGTCTGGGAGTTTAGCTCAGTGGTAGAGCGCCCCTCGGTTCAATTCCTAGTAACACCCCCCAAAATCCCATTATTATGTATAATTATAATGCATGAACAAAAATAAATAAATAAGGAGCTGGGGTTGTGGCTTAGCAGTAGAGCACTCGCTTAGCACGTGTGGGGCACTGGGTTCGATCCTCAGCACCACATAATTTTAAAATAAAGGTATTGTGTCCAACTACAACTAAAAAATAAATAAGAATACTTTTTATT